ATCTCTGCTTACTCTAATGGCCTATTTGGGGTATGGCTGACAGCAAATGTATCTACAGACACATTAATTAACATTATCTGGCATTAATTAACTTGCTGAGATATTGCTAACTATGTAGCTCTCACTGCACGAGGTATGACACAGGCTGAAAACATAACTAGTATCCTCAGCTGTATATTTTCAGATTATTAAATACAAATGCAAAGCACCTGAAGTCTTATTGTGAAGCCACAGAATATCTAATCCAGTGGCAAAGGGAATACCAAGATCTAGTTGGCAGCCTAATTTATAGTGGAAACTTCTATTGATGGTAATGTACAAGGGAAAAAAAAAACTGTCTTACTCACAGAGGTCAGGATAAAAAAAGCAGAGTTGGCTACTAGATAAAAATGCTGAATATACTTAATTTGAAATCACTTAGGGATACAAACATGAAAGTGCGCTGGGCCAATCTGCTACCATTTTTCAAAGAACTTCAGCTTAAGGATGATGGGAATTCTTGGAAGGTGAAGGAGCTGGTTTTATTTGCTATCGGTTCTCTGATTAGCCTTGATGTTTCCGAGTGCAGTCCCTCCTGGATCAACAAATTAGAGAGAGGACTTCCTCTTCAAAGTTAATGCCCAGCATGCTTTAGTATCCTGTTTTGATCAAGAAATAACTATTGAAAGCTCAAGTCTTTTTTTCCCCTTGGAACCAAAGCTACAGGTCTGGGAGATTATAGTCCTGTCTCTCCCGAATTAAATTCCTTAGATGTTAAACTGAGATTATATAAAACATGAGCTTCACTTTTTTCTTGTTCGACAACATGTGCATGTAAGTGGCAGTCCTCACCAATGCACAACATATTAACTGCCTTGTTGACTCTTATCTTTGTTTCAAGAGGAATACAGCAAATTAACTGTGCATCACCTTACAGATTTATTCCTAATTTCACCAATACAACAATTCTGGAAACCTGATTATTACCCTAATCTTAGGATAATGAATTTTGTGCTTGTGAGTAGACTTTTTGCTGGGGAAAAAAAAAAAAGAGAGAGACATCTACTATTTTATTTCTCTTGGGGCAGAATTTGAGAAAATAGCTAATGCTTGGTTTTAAGATGGTTTAAGTATAATTTGTTTTTATCCAAGTGTTGATTTCAAACATTTGAGATTATATTGTATTTACTTCCTTAATAGAATTCCACCCTTCTTCCTGTTCTCCTGACAGAACGAATTAGGTTCCAGGTGGCAAACCCAGCATCTGGGGATTATTATTACTAGTCATGTAGAATTAATTAAATTCCATTGCAGCATTCTAATTTGTAGGGTGCCATATAAAAATAGGGTCAGTTCCCAGCCCCAAAGAACTTTAAACTTAAGTATAAAATAAGAGACGAATACTGCAGAGAGATGGGATGACCCTGTGGTACTGAAGAGAGAAGCTACCATTGGTGATAAGGAGTAATCACAGTGCAGCATGTATCCAAACACTATAAATGTTTTTTCTTAGGCATCGGGGTGATGGTGGTTTTGCAGGATTCTATCAAGTGATATGGCTCAGGACAGAGTGAAAACTGAATATGCTTGTTGAAAAATTGGACAAATGGTCAGTTGAGGCCTGTGTTATTGCTTGAAAAGAGGCAGGATCCATTATTCTCATTTGCATTATTAAAGTTGGTGGGTAAGCAGGACTTTAAAAGTGGACATAAGTAGCTGTGCTCCTATTCCTTCCTCAGGTTTACTACATTGGGAGAAAACAAGTTCTATTCCTGTGTTGCTCGACGTTATTATTGTGGCAACTCCACTATTAGTTCATTCCATTTTTGCCTCAATATTCAGGAAGAGGTACTGAATCAATGCATTTTATACTTGTAAGATATTCAGAAGCAAGTTGCTTGTTTTATAATAGCTATAAAGAGAGGTAGGCTATACAGGTCCCTAAACTGTTTGTTGATCTAGAAGGAGAAGGAAAGAAGAAAAATGACGTAAAATTGTAGGTGGCTGCACAAAGATACAATGTGAAAAAGGTGTAGTAGCCTCTGACAATCATTAAATCTGCAAAAGAAACCTGGTACAGTGGGTGTTAATTACAGTAATTCAAGAGGTTTCTGGGAATACAGTGGCTTCTTTTTCATCTGGCCTGTACAATTAATGACTCAAGTTTTCTGTTACGAATCCTTAAACTGTTCTGCTGTCTTATGAACAAAAAGAAATGCCTTGGAGACAGTAGCAGAGTTTACTTTTCCAAACTTCTTTTAATGCCTTCTGTGTCCTAAAGATGCTGCTTTTTCTGTGAGCTCTCTAAGGAGCCATGGTAGCAATTTCCTAGGCTTCCTCTATTTACTAATTTATAGAATGGTTAGTTTTAAATAAGGGTTTGAATTAACTGATGAGTTGCAAGTCTAAAGTATTTATTTCATATTAATTGAAACCCAGAGCCTTAGCATTGACCAGTGACCTGGCCCACAAATATTTACCATGAACGTAGTACTTATAATTGCAAGTCATGCATGAAATTATTGATTGCTCACAGTACCGAGTACTGTGCTAAATGCAGCAAGTGTCACAGGATCAATTCTTCTGTCTCTGTTCCTGTTGCAGTTACAAGCTGCATATGCAAGTCACGTTAAAAGTACCTTCCTATTGGTTTTGAGGTTTTTTTCTTCCTTTGTCTTTTTTCCTGAAGATCTCCTCACATTCCCACTGTAGCTCCTGCCTCTAACACTGACATATGTCTTTGAGGCTTGTCAACATAAAGCACAGTGTGGTCCCAAAGCTGAGCCTTTCTCCCTTCACATGTCTCTGAGCAGAGACCTGTGAGCGATTACTCAAACTAGCCTCTCAAACCACAGTACCTGGAGGTGCATGTTTAAGTGTTTTAATTTACTCAGTGAGGATAAGGTATAAGAATCTCTGAGCAGGATCTACCTGGCAAAATTGCCAAGGAACTGCAGATGATTTTCTGTAAGGAATTGCCTTTTATTTATGCATCTATCATGCCAGGATGGCTAATGAGTAATAATTTCTTAAGAAGGGAAAGAAAGTACCACCGCCTAGTTAATGAAAACAAAATGTGATACAGCTGCTAACCCCAAAATTGTGGATGACATAGGAAGTTTTATTTCTAGATACAAACTTTCTTAAGTACACAAACAGACAAGATTTTTGGTTCTGTGTTGTCTCCTACCAGAACATATAAACAAATTGCTATTTCCTACAATAAAATAAATTCTATCCATCCTGGATCAGGAGCAGCTTAAAAACTGGCTTCCTTGTCTAAGCCTTGGCTAAAAATGTGCTTGATCTGAAACAGCATCTCAGGAAACTGAGCTTATAGTGGGAAACTAATATCTCTTTAATCATCCATTAACGTCCCTCTTCCCTGGTTCCTTTGGGGTATGGTGTCCCAAGGGAATAGTCACCTGACTTTCCAGAGAAGAGGAGCTGATAGCATTCACCTCGTGTTTACCTTGGTAAGCCTCTACCCTATGTAGGGTACTAGGGGAGTAGGGGATGCAATGCGCCTTTCAGTGGGAAGTGTGGTGGCTCTGTGGGACGTGGTTCTGAGTTTCGATTATTTAACCACAGGGTAGTAGGATGGTAACTCTTGGCTTCTGCTAAGAGTGATAAATGATAACCGTAGATAGAAATGGGGCAGAACCCAGACATTACATTCATTACATTGTCACAGCGTCCACTGTACAAGTGTGCTTAGTGATCAGTTTACAACGTGAAGTTGTTTTTAAGTATGTTTTCTCCAGCACTTACAACCTTTTTGACTGCCCACAGGTTTGAAATGGAATGCTCTTCTTAAGATGAGCATCTGGACAATAATCTTGTGTCCTTGTCTCCCAACCCATTTTGGAGTTGGATGTGTCCAGACAAAGTACTAGCAGTTAGTGCTCCTTGTGCTCAGGAGTAGCCTTACTACACAAACTCTCAGCTTTGCTACCCAAGGACTTGATAAGTGACTTGTGTTGCAGAGAACTGCTGCTATTGTTGCCCTGGGCATGGAGGAAAAACGTCTACCAGGAGTACTAATCTTTACAAAGTATGATGTTACTTCCAAGAGGCAGGGGAATTGCAAGGAGGCATGCATGCCACATTGGAAAACAAATGAAAGGGAAAGAAAATAGGTTTTCCATTTCTTCTCAACACATCTCACTAGAATAAAGGCACAATCCTTCCTTACATTTCAGAGAATGTGCCCTTGCAGCATCGTCAAAGGAAACACACACAGGATTCAAAGTAGTTTAGGGAAGCAAACAACTACATTAGCAAAGAACAGTATATGGAAGATAGTGAAATATGTGTTCCTCTTCTGAATTAAATCACCATTATATTTGTAAAAGGATCTGAAGCTTATCCATATTCAAACATTTTCAGATAGTACCTGCCTCTCCACCACGCACAGCCATTAGCTACTTAAACTCAGTCTGTAGGCCTTGCCTGTGACCTGGAGCTAAAATAAATAGCTTGAAGAGAAGGAGAGGTTGAGCGATCATTTGCAAGGCTATCTTTGCCAGTAGGATTGGCATCTTTTTGTGTCTTGAAGCCATAGTCTGAAGGATGAGAAAACTTCATCACTTTTACTGCTTTGAAAAATGAATCAAAATATACCATGTAATTCTAACTCAGTAAAACAGAGTTGTGAGTGTTTGAAATGTGTAAGCAATAACAATCTAGATAATTATTTAGGACCCTTAATGACTGTCGTCTGCTATAGTGATGATGAAATTCACAAGTAAAACCAAAAAACGATAATATGAGGAAAAACTTGCTAATCACGAGATAGCTTAACTTGTTGAAGTAGTTGAAGAGTTTTGTGGGGTATGATAGAAACAACACAATGTGAAGCAATTACAATTCACCAAATCAAAGCATCCAGAAATACACAGTACAATAGAAAACAGTTTATATTGTCAGAGGGGCAAACAGGTTATCTGCTGTCCATCTTTAGCTTTTAAAATCTTCATTTGAGAAAGAAAGAAATTAAATAGAATTATGTACTCAAAATATTTGTCTTGTTTTCTTTTTCAGCGCAAATTGAAGTGATACCATGCAAAATTTGTGGTGATAAGTCCTCTGGAATACACTATGGAGTTATCACATGTGAAGGCTGCAAGGTATGAGATTTTCATACAGCATAGTCATCAGCATCTGCATTAGCCTCAGGCATCGGTGTACAATAATACACTCTTACACGCTTTCAAGCAAGTGGTGCCAAAGGCTCTAACGCCTGTTGCTGATATAGATGCATTTCATGCCTAATTTTACTAGTTACTTTTCTTTTCTTGAAATAATCTTTAGAGTTATGGCCTTGTTTGAAATATGAATTAATTGCATATAAAGCTGTATAAATTCTGATACAGGGGCTGGCAACTGTAAGTCACACCTGTTCTACCTTAAATCAGCTTGAGAGATGGATTTCTTGTTTCCTATACAATCCATGTAGCATTACAAGTTGGCACAGTATCTCAGTGCAACATCTTAAAAGCGTACAGGTGTCAGTTTGGTACTATTTTATCCTGCATGTATTCTCTTCTGGCCAAATTGTAATCTTGAAAAGAAAAAATGCCTTACATTATGAGCAGTGTAAAAGGATCGTTTGACTTCTTCCTTATAGGCTCCAGCACAGGGCAGTTACTGGGAATTAGAGGTTAAAAATAATAAAAGGGCAAAAAACCTTTCCATGCTGCTTGGTCATATTAACATATTATCCCAGGCCTTATTTCAAATAACACAAATGAGACCTCAAGCCAAGAGAATAAAGGCTTCATTTTTCAACTTCAAAAATACTCTGTGATTTTATTATCTAAGGAATTATATCATTACTCGTGGATAACCAGAATTTCTTACTACATGTTGGTACTTCAGCTTTGACTATAAATGTGAAGTTGCAAAGATGGAGAGACAGCATCTCTTATTTCTTCTAATTTCTTCTATGTGGAAACACACAAAGTGGTACATTTCAAAGTAGGTGCATATTTGTAGAGTGAAATGGCAAGTCTGCATTTACTTATCACTTTACAAAATTTTAGAACACCTGAAAAATCTGAAAATGTGGGTGCGCCCATTACCAAAAAGAAAGTTATTAGTACCGACAAATGGAGAAGCAGTATGTTGTCAAAGATCAGATTTCTTTCAGAATTGTTAGCAGTTGTAAACAGAACAACCCGCAGTGTGTCACTGTCTCATTGTGACACTGGACTAGAAATGAGCATCTTCTTATGATGATCACATGAAACAGGATTAGACTAATTGATCTGATAATTCAAAATTGGCACAAAAGCTACAGGAGAAAAATGCTTTAAGCATAAAAACAGCGTTTTGTCTCAGTACTCAGCGCCCACAGAGCAGTTAGGAGTAGAGTCTCCTGTAGATGTGATTAGGGTTAATGCTGGCCCTTGTGTGTGCCTCAAGAGGAGATGATACCCCTCAGCTCTATGTGTAGACTGCTTATTGAGATAAAGAGCTTCTCTTCCACTTACGACAGTTTTAACCCTATTGTTTTTGTGCCAGTTTCCCAGTATCAGATCAATTAGTATAATCTTGTTTTGTGAGCCTGTTGTGAAAAAAGATGTCAGTTTTCACATCGGGTACAATGGGAGGCATTTCAGTCTGTCAGAGCTCTCTTTTAGGGTAAACGCTGTCTCGGGCAATGCAACTCTGCTCTTCATTGCCCAGCAATTAAATAACTATTTGGTGAGCCTGCATACTAATAACTGGTCATTTCTGGTTCCTTTTTTCTGAATGTGTTAGAAATCCGAATTAATTAAGGGGGAAACTGTGTGTGGAAGAAAGAGGTGAGAACAGCTCCGCAAGCACGCACAAAACCACATCCACATAGGAGCTGCTAAAATCTTAAACTTTACACCAGAAAATTATTTGAGTGTCAGATTCAAAATTTTCTGTACAGTTCAGCACACAGCGCAGAAGTCTCTGCAATTAGCATCCATTTAGCCTCAAATTAAACTCACCTCCACAGTGTCAGGAAAGTTTTGGTCAGCCAGAAACAGGTAAGTACCCCCCAGATTTTTTCTGAGAGTTGCAGTTGAGGACATCCGTATTCTCAAAAGTGTAAATCATGACATTGAATTTAGTTGCTAGATATACTAAAATCACTGCTAAAACCAGCATAGGCCAGATGTAGTGAGTCCCTTTGTGCTCAACCTCAGAAACTAGCGCTGCCAGTATCCTTGGTAGGACACCATGTCTGTCACCTGTTGTTACTGACCTCCTACAGTATCTTCATTGGGTTCACCCAATGAAGGACATGAGTGAGGGTTCAGGCACTACCTGTAGCAAGCAAATTTTGCCCTGTGACACTGTCACCTTGTTGCTTCCCCACTGTCTTTCCCACAAAACACACGGCTGCCATAACTGCCATTGCTTGGTACTGCCGTCTGTCAGCCGGTGTGCAGAGAACACTGGTTTTCCCTGACAAATGAAGTTAGCTATTGCTTTCTGGCTCTATTAGAGCTGTTTGCAAACTGCCCAGAAAGGCACAACCACTCTGGCATCACTTCTGGTGAGTAGTGTAACTGCAGTAACGATGCTTTCTGCCCTTTTTCTCCTCGTGGCTTCCTGCAGTGGCTAGGCTGTCCTTCAGCTCTCCCACCACACAGCCCTGCAGCTGCCTGCATCTAAAGATGCCTAAGTGGCCAAGGAACTTCTCTTTGTTTCTGTCTCTCTCTGGACTTGACGTTCCTCCTGTCCTTTATTTTACAGGAAAGAAAGGATCATAAAATGCCCTCTCCCCCTCTCTCTCTAATCCTCATCCCCTGGTTTAATTCCTCTTGTCACCTCTGCCATTTCATGTCACTTCTACCATTCTTTGGTGCCGTTAGTAGCAGCTGGGAGCTTGTAAGGCCTTAGGTATGGGTTAATACTAACCCAGACCTCTAATCTTTAGCCAAATAGGCCACAGCTGGCCAGGAAAACCTCCCAGGAGATAGAATAACTACAAATTTTTACATAGATAAAATGGATGCTATATTCCATTGAAATGGAAAATGTCTTTACTTTCTCATGGTAGTGTCTAAAGGTGTTGCTTTCTCCTTTGTGTGTTGGCTTTACTTGATACAGTCATTAAAACCTAGTGCTTTTGTGATGCTTGAATTTGAATTACTTCTCACTCCTGAAGTGTATGGTCCCTCCAGATCAGATCAACGTTTGCCAGGTTAAACTGAACAGCAGACTTCAGCTTCTAAAGCTATGCATAGCCAATGCCGGTTATTACCAATCTCTCATTAAAGGAAGAAAACAATCAGAACGAGCACTTTAAGTCATCTATTTACAAATGCTGACAAGATTTTCCTCTATTAGGAGCAAGCCTTAGATGATACATGGTCGTTATTGCACAATAAGAATGCATTCTGTAACATTATTGTTTGTGATTTAACAAAGTAGAATTCTTTACGGAATAAAGCACGGTTCTCCTTATTTTAAGTAAATGTTCTTTAATTTCAATATACAAGGCCAACATCTATAAAGCCATAGCATAAGTATAATGGCACTAAATAAGATCTTATTATAGTCTTTTACATGGTTCTCTGTGTGCGTGTGTGTGTGCGCACATATGTGCACGTGGTAATACTCTGTCTCTCTTGCTCTCTTGCCCCTAGGGATTCTTTCGGAGGAGTCAGCAGAACAATGCCTCCTACTCCTGCCCAAGGCAGAGAAACTGTTTAATTGACAGAACCAACAGAAATCGTTGCCAACACTGCCGACTGCAGAAATGTCTTGCCCTGGGAATGTCTCGAGATGGTAAGGAGTCAGATTCCTGCTTCACGCATAAACCCTTTGAAACTCTTCTTCACTGCTGACTTACTTAAACTCCCTGTAGATTTCCAGAAAGAGAGAGAAGACAAGCTCCTTGCTTTGTAACACACACACTGAGACATGGATCTTTGCCGTGCGGTTGACAAAGGAGGCTATTTTCATGGGGAGGGTGGGGAAATCACAAAATGGAGAGCAGTATTAGTTTGGAACAGAAAGAGTCACAAATGAAATGTGTTGTTCTGATCAAAAGCACAAAAAGGGCTCCTCTGGAGGGGTGGATTCATATTCCAGTTTAAATAACCTCCTATATTAAACATTAACATTTATCCTAACATTACCAATTGATGTGTGAAAGCATCCCTTTCCTTGAGATCTGTAAAGGTTCTGTGACAGTAAATAGCCAGTTAAGAAATTTACATCTTGATAGCATTAGGGGTTTCTGTTTGTTTTATTCAGAGCACTTGACCAAATATTTTGCATTGCTAAAGAAACATTTCTTCTACCTTTACATTGCCCCTTGTCCCTGTCTGGGTCTGTAGAAGAAATGTTTCGTGGTTTAGCACTGAAAATGGAAACTACAGCAGAGGATAGCTCCACCGTGTATCCGATAGCAGTATCCTTGCAGAGCTCTGGTCCACCTTCCAAACTGTGCTGTGGCGATCCATGATCATCTGAGGATGAGGATGTGTTTCACACCAGAGCTGTAGGCAGTGGGAGGCTTGGGCAAGGCTACCCACAGCCAGCCTGCCCCAGCCACCACTGCTCATACAGGGGTTTCCAGCTCACAAACATGTTTTAAATGGTCAGGAAGCATGAGAAGAAAATATTTCATTTTTTAATTTTAATTGCCTGGCCTGACAGCAGCTTTCTGTCTTAGAAAGTTTAAACAAAATGTGTAATTTGAAATAAACAGTCATTGATGGGGAAGTTACTTAAAGAGCTATTTCTTCAGATGGTCCACAAATTATAAACTTGTTTTAAATTTGGACCATAAAAGGTCTTTTCCTTCCTCAGCATGTCTCCCATATCTCACTGAAATAACTTGCACGCCAGTCTCACCAGTCTGGGAGGGACCTTGCAGTCTAGCCTTTAATCCATGAACTCTTTTTGGTCCTAGCATGCAGCTTACTTGATGCCTTAGCTCCTGATTCTTCCCAGGGGAGATTAAAGTCATAACATTTCAGTAATTTAACAACACGTGCTTTCCTCCTAAAAGTACTGTCTTCCAATGATTTGAGGTATCACAGGGGCATTTTAATGTGACTGACAGCACTGTCTTCCCAACCTATAATTCAGGCACCACTGCGTACAGACAAAGAGAGGGATTCTTCCGGCAGCATCGCTTTCTTCTCTCGTTGTTTATGTATGGGTGTTTATATTTGACCATATTAAAAGCTCTTGCAAGTTTAAAATAGCTTGTATGGATTTTTTTTTTAAGAGAGAAATTGAATGTGATTTTTACCTCTCAGCCATGTAACAGATTCATTTTTATCATGCAGAGGCAGGATGCTAATTGACAGCAGCTGGAGAATCCAATTAATGAATATATAATGAGAATAAACAGTGGGTGTTTGTTTTTATTACTAAGGCCCTAAATTTGAAGAAAATACACAGTTGCATTTTTCAAAATACAGTCACTGTATATTGTCCATAAGGGTGTGCAATACACTGATTCCAGGGGCTGGCTGTGCTCGAGTGAGGTAGCTCACAGCCTGTGTGAAGGGCTGCAAGTAAGTTGAGGTTGACAAGAGGGAAAAAAAAAATATCTTAGTATAAAAAAGTGTAAATACATCGAAGAGGCTGCTGTCTCCTTGGTGTTCTGGCACTGCCTTTTCATATTACTCTCTTCCTTTTCTGATATTTTTCCTGACCGAAGATTTTCACATTCATCCACATGTGTACGCTCAGACTCTTCTTGACAGTTATAGGTGAAGTATGGGGTAGCAAAAATGAAAGCCAAGCCCATGCTATGCTAATAAATGTGATAACTCTGAACAGATCCCAATTATAGATAGACTGCGAATACTCAGTGTTGGAAAATACGCCTCGTAATACATATAAATTAATATTTCCAGACCAATGTCCTCTTACCCATGCTCTGCTGAATTCTGCTGAATGTAGTCCTTGTTTGTTTCAGAGAACAATTAACAACTACCTCTGCTCTGAGATCCCAAGATCTAGTCCAGCAGAAAGCCAGAATTTATAGAGAGATGGCGGGGCGGAGGAAGTGGCGGCCAGGAAAATAATCATCTGTGACCCACTGTATATTCAGGCTGTGGACTTACTCTTCCTAGTTCCACAGCAATCAGCCTGTCATTTTTGAAAATTCCAATCTCAGTGTAACGAACCCTGTTCCTGGGGAGAGTGTTTTGCACTCTGATGTTTTCCTCCATTTCCCATCAGAAGGAATGCATGGATTTGTGCATGGAGATTATGTAAATTGATTGTGTAAATCCCTGAGATTTTACTCCGTGGAAAAGATGACATTCATTTGTGCTGTTTACCTTCAAATCTGTTATTTTCCTCTAGGTTCTAACTCTAACCTGTAAGATTTTTTTTTTAGAGTGTGAAGATAACACCCCATTGAAAGGATGCGATAATAAGGCTTTAGGGCTTGTTTTCATCCAGAGTACTAATCCTGTTAGTGCACTGTTTAAAGGTTTGTGGAAAGTTGGTAAATCACATGGGATATGAATCTACAGACTGTACATTTCATACAGCTCTGGGTTGTTGTTCAGTGAACACAGAGATATAAAAGGATGCACGGTCTTTTTAACATTCACAGTGGGAAGTGAGTTGCTTGACTGAGGCCCTCCTGTCAAATAGGAGTTATTGTCATCACCTTGTAAATCCAAGCACACAATACTTTTTCCTTTGTGAGACACACATGGTGTAAAGCTTTGCATCCTCTCTCGTTTCCACAGAAAAAGAAAAGTTTCCACAGCAAAAGTAGCACTGAAAGTAAATATCAAAAGAGTGATGGGGTTGAAGGGAATTTAGGAAAAATTAAATACTACAATGGTTCACGTTGTGCTTTGCTTTTCAGCTGTGAAGTTTGGAAGAATGTCCAAAAAGCAGAGAGATAGCTTGTACGCTGAAGTGCAGAAGCACCAGCAGCGACTGCAGGAGCAACGGCAGCAGCAGAGCGGTGAGGCAGAAGCCCTCGCCAGGGTTTACAGCAACAGCATCAGCAATGGTTTGAGCAGCCTGAATAACGACACTGGCAGCACCTACTCAAACGGGCATGTCATCGACCTGCCAAAGTCTGAGGGTTACTATAACGTGGATTCTGCCCAGCCTTCCCCAGACCAGTCTGGGTTAGACATGACTGGAATCAAACAGATCAAGCAGGAACCTATCTATGACCTCACCTCTGTACCAAACTTGTTTACCTATAGCTCTTTCAACAATGGGCAACTAGCTCCGGGGATATCCATGACTGAAATAGGTAAGGAAAATTCTAATTCCTCTAGTGTAATGTGTATATATATTAGCTACATTGCAATGCTGTCTTTATCAAAATATGATACAGGCATTCCATACACAGGTACACAATAATTACATGTTCACACATGAGCATACATACAGACACATACACGGAGCAAAGGAAAGAAAATCACTCTGGCAGTAATTGACACAATATCGAGGCAGTTCTGTTTTTACCAAAATCTGAAAATTATGCAATTCCTTAAAATCAGCATTTCATGTTTTGTTTATGAAAGAGGAGCACCAAAACAGGTGATGAATCAATCAGAACCAAGTGATAATTAACAGCAGGGAGCTTGTTTCAAATGAGCTCATTACTAGCAGGGTTAAATGATCTCTTCAGCCATCCATCTGTATTCTTGTCAACACCCAGAATCCCCATGGCAGCTAAATCTAGGGTATGTGTTGTCAAAAAGCACCAGCTCGCTACCTCTGGTGCATAAATGTACGTGCAGAGCAAGTTCACTGAATTTGTGAGGTGCACAAACTCTGAATGTAGTTGTGTTGATACCCCTGCTCCTCTGCTTGAATGCTTTGGAGAACCCGTCCCTTGATTTCTTTTTTGAAAAGTAGCAAAGAGACTTCTCTGTGAGATGAGCCAGTTTGAAAGGCAATGGCTAACAGTTATTCTTCTCTAAAGAGGATTTTTGTTCATCTAAAGCCTCTAGTTGTATCTCTCCAACGCAACTGGAAGAACTACGTCTATTATAAAGAATACATGAAAGAAGGTTGGCATTCTAATTAGGTACTTCCCACCTCAACAAGTGAAGTATGCTGAGTCAGTTGTGGTTGAGAATATAATCAAAGGGTAACACTTTGTTAATGGAATTTAATTAAAAAGAAAGAAGAAGGGAAAAAAAATATGGTATTCAAGAGCACCTGTAACAAATTGATTAATGTCACATCATAAAAGCTCTCTGTAGTTCTTGCCTGGCCTTGCTGCCTCATACATGTACACTGAGATGTGTACATTTATTTGTGTACTCAGACCTACTGAGGGCCCTGGGTATGTGGCATCCTCTCCATATATGTTGCAGAAAGGATGTATGTAGTAGTTACTGCCCGATAAAAAAATGAAGGCGCATCTAGAATTTGTAGCATGTTTTCCACCCATGGATGCTCATGTGCAGTAAGCTATGTAACAAGCTGTGTGCTTTAGTTGCAAATTGCACAGGAGAAAGTTATGCTTTTCTGCTGCCACTCTGTTTAAGTCCTACACCCACAGCATGGCAGCACAGAGGACTGGTGAGGAGCATCTGCTCCAACTTCCCTCTCAGCTCTTGTGGCTGTGTGAATATTACTCACATGTGGCTTGTGCAGCCCTCAGTCCTGCAACAGTGGTACGCAGTACTCCAAGCCAGCGGAGAGACAATTTAAACAGGTTAAGAACTGTTTCCCTGCAGCACCCTGTACCAAAGGGAAATGTTCCCAGAGGGACTCAGAGGACGTACCAGAAATACGACGATTCCGATAGTCTGTGAATTAAGGTTTGTTCTCTCTTACAGAAGTGAGCCCAAAGAGGTAATATAGCCACAGGACTATATCCTCAGTAGCTAAGGATCCCATTAAAGTCAATGGAATCTTTTGACTCATGGACCTTTAGAGAATCATTTAATTCTTGCATTTTATCTCTTGCAGGATTTCATCATTCTTAAATCTTCATGCATGTTTTTGCTCTCCTAGCCCTAAACCAGCCAGCCTTAAACTCACCCCACATTTTCCAGTCTTATACCCTCAGTGTCACCTGCCTAGTGTTCCTCTTATGGAGCATACAAAGCGGGGAAAACCCCAGAGCACAGGGAACAGGACGTAGCAAAGGCCCTGTCTCTTAACGTGGCAGCAAAATGCAGATGCTGGGACTTACCTCTCTTCCTTTAGAAATTGGAACCGGGGCTCCTAAATTGCTAGGATTTTACCCAAATGCTGCAGCATGTCATTTTGGCACCTACAGCAGAGAGGTAAGGGTGTTAGTGAGGGATAATGTAGTGTAACAGATCAGCTGACATAACTGAAAAAGTGGAAGAGATGTACAATAAAATATTGGGATTAGTGCACAGGCAAATGGTATTTTCAGTGTCTAAAAACAAACAGAAAGTGCCTCCTAATGCTGCAGTGGATTGTTGGACCCATATGCAAAGCTGCAAGCTTGCAGTCAAAGCAGGAATACTCTAAGCACTGTGATGCATTGATTCCCTATTACAGTGTACTTAAATTTCACTGCAGCATTGTATCTTACTCACTGCAGTGAGATTTAAGAGTAAACTCAACTTATGTTAAATAGAAGTTACTACCTTAACTGTTAGCTGATATCATAGAAAATATATAGGACATGAAAAATCTATACTGTATAGATCTTCATGCCTGATAGAAATTTCTTTATACTACATTTTCTAGTGATATACTGAACCATTGCTTCTAAGTATCCCAAATCATGTTAGTTCTTTCCCTCACTGAAGACTTTGTACCAGATTCAAATTTCCAGTCTTAGTTTCCTTCTGGTCTTTATGTTCTTCAAATACATGTATATTTTTAAGCACAACCTCACTTACCGCTTGTCTGGTCTTAGTTGCAACACCCTTAATTTTTTCCTCATAAATGCATGAGACTCCTTCCATCCTTGAGCTCCTAAAAGTTGCTGTAACCTCCCCAAGAGACTGACTTCTTCACAAACAGCCCATAATCAAAGTAGTCTTTGCAGCTTCTGCCTCACATGCCAACCAATATCCAGTTCACTTATTCCTTCAGTGTTATTGCTTGTTTTTCACTCTGTATAGGGCAGTTTTTATTAAGACACCTCTGAGCACACATTTTCAAGTTTGAATCTCATTTTCCCTTATTTTTCTAATCTTTTCAACCCTGTTACTTCAAGTCTCAGTCTTTATTGATGTTTTGTGACTTCATTCAATTTAGAATTATCTCTTCATTCAATTAGCATGCTGTGAACCCTCTCTTTCAGATTATTAATGAAAATGTTAAATGCTTGTAAAACAGGTTTTAACATTGGTACCTGCTGCACCTGACAAAACAACATGTCAAAATTGCATAAATTGCTTTACCATTTACTTTCTCCTTACTATCCAAAAGGAAGGTTCTCTGAAAAAATCCATGCATACTAGTCTTCATTTCCCTGTCAGTTTGGTAATGTTATAAAAATAATATTTTCTAAGATATTCTATGACATAATTTAAGCATCATTTACATTCTTTTCTTCACATGTTAATTTTCTAATTCCAACAAAAAGGAATCGAAACGAAGGCCTACTTTGATATTTAACATTTCTATGCTTTAATTTGAATGTGAAAGTGCTGGTTTTCCTGAACGTACCTTCATCTACAGTAGACTTTGTAGTGGAAATGGAAATTGCTCAGCTTAACAGTTTTGAAATTAAAAATTTTTTTACACAGCAAATGTTTCAACACATAGTATTAGGATGGCACAGCAAGTAAAATATAACTTATGCATGTTTACTAGTATCTCTAAATACTATACCAGGAAATAAGTGTAGGAGAAAGAGATGCTGACAAATTGAAGTTATATAGGAATCCTTCACACATATTTAGTATTGTCATATTCCTCTAAATGTGTTGAATAGTCTAGGGTACAACTGCACATTATCTGATCACTATGACGAGCAGATAGGTTATGGAAGAGAGGACTAAGTACAACAAAGAGTGGATTCAGATACAGACATAAATTTCTCATGTAATTGCCAGAGCTTACAGTGTATAAAAGTTGGATAAAATTAGGTAGCTCCCCATTAGGCAGAACTGTGTCTTGGGCTCAGTCCTCGTCGGTATTCCAGTTCTTTTTACAAGAAGCTCAAAGCATAAAGAAATCAGTCCAAAGCTCATAAATAAGCACACAGGAGCAGAGCCTCAGCTATCAGCTGCATTTCCAGGCCAGCTCTTTTTTTTTTTTTAATAAGGGAGGTATTTTTGTCCTTAACCCAAGGTGTCTTATTGGAGACTTGATGTAGTTTTGTAGCAGGGTGGGCAGGGCACAAAGTAGGTCAGATGCATCAACCAGACAAGTCGGGTAGGCTCTTTCTCTACCCGTCCTGCTGCCCACAGATGGCATGACTCAGGTGTGTCCCAACAGCCAGCTCTGCTCCAGATTTCCAGAGAAATCTGAGGATGCGTGCTGCCACAGACCCTGTGGCACGGTCTTGTTTGTCCCTGACCACCGTGCCATCTGCCCATCTGGGTAGGCAAAAACTCCTGGTGCTGCCATGGGTGCTCAAACCAGGGGTGAAATCTGCTCATCATGCCAAAACAGAGAATTTGGTCATTTGCAGAATGACATTCTCTTTGCAGAGAGGTGTCAGCTGGTGCACCTCTCTGCAAGGGAAGTGCAAGGGAAATCCTAGAGGGAGAAAGGAGCTCCATTTTCTGACCCTACTCGTCCCATAGAGGGACAGCAATGCTTAGTCCCAGGTGTGATTTTAAATTAGCAGGTATTGAAGGCTTATTTTTAGACTTGGTCAAATTAAAGACCATCTTGTTTAAATATATGTGCATAATATTATCTGTCACTGAGCTGACCAATGCATTTTCCTCACAAAATATGTGGCTCAGATCTTGTCCTGTAAAAGTTAATGGAAAGGTTTCCCTGCCTTGACTGCAGTTGAGATTACCAGTCTATGATTTCCTAAAGATGAGAAAAAAATATTAGCAAACATTGTTGTGGGGTAAACAGATTAGTTTACGGTTCACGCCAGGTCAAATTGAAGAGTGCCCTATAGCTGTGTGTATTTAGGTAGTCAATAAGACACCACTAGAGCAGACTGGAGGTCACAGAGCTCAGCCTCTATAGTTACAGAAAAAAGTGTGATTTATGGAAACCTACATGGAATTTCTTCTGAAGGTACACAATGGCTTGGAAAACTTGCATTCCTTCCAAAATTTAAGTCAAATAGTAAGTAAGGTTGGTAGGCTCAAACTAGATATTCCCTTTCCCAGCCAC